TGCAGCTGTACATGCAAAGGCAGGGGGGGAGTTGGAGGGAAACAAAAAAGGCTTCTTGTCTGAATACCAAATACCAAAGCACAAGACTAGAGCTCTCTTCCACGCTCTCAATCTTACTATAGGAACAAAAAAAACAGATTCAGTCAGATTTTTGTAATTGAATGGCTATTCTTCACTGCCATCAGAAAATGCATCAAATGCTGGGTGTTTCATGCCATTGTTTAGGTACAAGGTGATTCAGGAGGGTGAGATAAAGCTCTTCCCAGAGGACAAACATCCTTTTACTCCATGGTGTAACATTAAGGCGATGTTCTCTAATTGTTGAAAACTGTACTTTCAATACCGGGACCCCCGTCTGTTTGCTTGTACAACGTGTCTACTGCAAGGTGTCTGAGCATCTGTAACTCCCACTGGTTTTACATGCACACAGAGCCAGCTGCATAAACCACCTGGTATTCATCTCTGTAGCTGTGAGAACTGCTGTTTCAGCATGCTGCTGGAACCCAAGGAGTTAATACCACTTGCTTCCCCCACCCTACCTACCCCTGAAATCAGGGTTTTTAGTTCTTCCCTGTGTCTGAAACTGGCAGCAGGAAAAAAGGGTGGAGTGAGCAATAGTGGTGTTTTTATATGTGCTTTTGAATTATAAGGAAAGTTAACACTTATCTTTACATAATCATTAAGGATTAAGCTTTAGTAATTTGTAAAGAATCTTGCTACTAGATTTTCTTTATAAGAAGTGATAGGCTTTCTTGAACTGGGATTGTCATTCTCTTTGCCAGAACAAAGACTAAATCTCTTCAAAATGGACACAGAACTTGGGAGCTGAGACAATGGCAACATCCCTGATGGCTACTCAGACTTGTGTTTTTGACCTTTTATTTTTTATAGAGAAAAAAAAATCTCTTTCCAACCAGAATTACAATTCTGTCATTTTGTTCATGCTTGTAATTTGTTATTTAAACTGAGAGATGACAGATCATCTAAATTAGTTGAGTACATCAGGAAATTTCTTACTGCATTACCTTGTGTCAGGCTTTAGGTTTTCCACTGTAGAATGAGTTTGATTTGTAGTAATAACTGACTGCTCCTTCCCAGTAGGTGCTCCGTTTTCAGTTGATACAACCTCATACTCTGAAAAGCACAACAGAAACTTGCATTTAATAACCACTTGCAAATCTCCCATTCATTGTTCAGACCTCTCTCTTCTTATTCAATTTCCTTCTTTTTGCCTGTTTTCCCTAGTTACTGTCTTGCATATTGTATCTGCAGTCCACCATGAGTTGCCTTGTTTGTACCTTAAGTTGACAAAAGTTTCTGTTCCAAATATCCAGTTTTATAAAGTACTGAATGCTTCCTCTCACCTTCTTCCCCATTTCAATGAGAGAAGTTATAGGTTCTTAGAACATTACAGAGGGTTCTCATGAATCAGAGACAGATCCAGGAGGATGCGGCAGCATGGTTGCATCCCTTTTCAGTTGCGTGGCACAAGCATGGTGGGTCAGCAAAGCTCCTGCTGGCATTTCTGAGTTCATTGATGATTGGCACAGGCTCTGGCCAGAGCCCCCCCCACTTTTTTTTTTTTTGTTTTTTTTGTTTTTTTTTTACACAGCTCCAAAGCCCAGCAGCTGAGCATTGCCACTACTCACTGCCTCTCATCCCTTGTTGCTGAATTCAGCTGTGGGGGAAGAAGGGCAGGCAAACAGCAGCAATGCTCATGCCCTGCACTCCGGAGCTGTGTGAAAAGTACGAGCTTTAGTCAGAAGCTGTGCCAATCGACTGGTGAGTTCAGACCCCTCACAACACATGAGACCAGCCTAGTGTGGCATGGCCATACCTCTCTGCCTATGTTAGCATCTTGGTGGTTCAAACCCTAATCAGCCAGTAGGTACTAACATTCTCGAGTTGAAGTTAAGAGTCAGCTCAGAGATCAAAGTACCATCTTAGAAGAACTAAGAAGTAGCAACATGGAGCCCAGGGCCTGAATTTTCAAGACTTACATTAAAAAAATTCCCAGCTCTGAATTTAATGCATGGATGTGTGACAATTTGACCAATTTGCCTAGCCTATGTAAAAATGTCTTCTCTGTTTATAAGGAAACCTAAACAACAAACACAAATAAGCAGCTCTGCAAGCATGCTTTTATGTAGCAATAATGTTCATTAGGGAAATGTTGTTAAGGCACATTATTCTAGGAGCCTTGAAAAGATGCTGCTTTTACTTTAGTTTTTCAAGGGAAAATGAAGAGTTAACTCTGACTCATGGCAGAATCGATACAACATAACCCTTTTTAGAATGAATGTTATTGTCAGTAAAATATTACCTATTACACTTGCTCATGGTTAAAAGTAGACAGTTTTTAAGTATGTTGTTGAAACTTTGGTTCTTCAGTATTTTGTTTGAAATTTACCATAGTTTATATCAATAAACCAAAGCATTGCTAAGCCAAAATATTTCTTTCATAGGCCTTGTACCATTCATCCTTTGTTTCTATTGATTTAAAGTTCCTGGACCCTATGATGACATATTATTCTCATTTTGATTTACAATGCTTGAGAATTTATATTTCCTGAGCTTCCACAAATTTCCGAAGCTGAAGTTTCAAGAACTTTAATTCACAACAGTATCTTCTATCCATCTGTCTGATGGAGACAAATGTCACTTGGAAATTGCATTGCTTGATTTAATACAATTTTCAGAAGGCTTCTATATAATTTTTTGCTGCACCCTTAGAGGTAGTTGCTATTTATTTATTTTTTTAATCACACAATAGACACTGTAAGCAACTACTTAGCAAATAATGTAAGCTGATATTAAATTAACGTACAATGTAATACTTAGCATTTATGTATAACAAAATATTCTACAATAGCATTTAGTCTTCATACAACCCTATAAGGCTAGGCAAGAAAAACGGGGTATATGGAATCATTGGGTTCAGCTCAGGGAAAGTGATGTGCATAGTTATGCACTCTTAGGGCGACCTCCTGGGAAGTACTGCACTGTGCAAGTACCTTGCAAAGTGCAGTACCTCCCAGGAGGTTACCCTAAGAGTGCTTCCTTTGGTCCACTACTTGCCATCTTCATTGGGAATTGCACACTCTTCAAAGAGCAGCTTAGTCTACCTGGGCAACCAGCCCATTACTCTACTGAGAAGTGAAGGGGAGATCTAGGGACCTTCCATTGCCTACCCACACATGCAAACACGCACACAGAGGTGGTATCCCAAGTCAGCAATCTATTGTTTCTGGCCTGAGGTTGAGGCTAGAGCCTATTTTGCCCTCCACCTAGCAGTGGAGAAAAGAAGAAGTGGTGTCTTACTTGCCCCACATGGATGAATAAGATATAGGAACAATCTACCCCTAAATGTTCAGCTTTTTCATGCTTCCTAGACCACACAATCCTCATTTACACTCCCAGAACACTGCAGCACACATGGGGTTGGGATGGAACTGCGGAAAGGTAAAGCCAAGGATGCTAGAGCCCCTTCAACACTTGCTGGGGCCTAGACATTCCAACATATCTTTATCAAGCCCCATAAAACTAACATATTATCTGTTACAGAGAAAACAATGTGAGTACACATCTGGAGTACAGTGAGGGAGGAACTAGCTATTTTTCTCCTCTGCTACAGTTCTGTTGTGATGGATTTAAAAACAAGTGGGGAAAAGAGCAATCTAGTAAGACAAATTAATCCCTTCTGCCAGGTACTGAGCAGTCTGAAGCCAATGGGAATGGACTACTCTGCAAAACTGATGACTGTGATGCAACCTAAACACATCTGGAGCAACAATGAAGGTTGGAGGTTGCTGAGCATCTTGCTCCCATCAGATCTCTGGTCTCAAAAAAGCAAAGTTGAACCCCCTTTTATACATCCTGCCCCACTAAGCTGCAGTAATTTTAACACCCCCACCCCCCTCCTTTTTTTTTTTTTTTTTTTTTTAAGGAAAGCACTGAAAGCTTTAGGAGCTATAGGCTCCAATATGGAAATTACAGCAAACTCCATTAGAAGCCACTGGCTAATAACTGTGGCTCATCATGCTGGTGTCTTGGTTTTACTGAGCGGATCAGGAGCCGCAGCGTCTGGCAAACCAGGAGACTTGTTGCTCTCTTCCAGAAACACAGCTGACAGCTGTGGAATGGAAATTGCAATTGGAAAATGGAATTTCCAGTCAAGAAATTACTTAAATACCCAGTGTTTGTTGAAACTGGCACTCTCAGGTATAGGTCAGTCTGTGTCTGATATAGTCCATGTTTGGGTTGAAGCTGTAGCAATCTCAGTAAAACCAGTGGTTGAGGGGAAAAATATATGTCAACATTCTCATTTGGATGGCAATTCACCACACCATCCAACACAAAGCTATGGCAGCCCTTTTCCCAACAAAGCTAGTGCAATGTTCCTTGCTAATGCTCCACTGCTGTTTACTATTAGGTTGAGGTGATACCTTCAGATCTCTGGGGGAAAAAATAATACCTCATTTTCTGTATCACAGTGGTATCCTTTCTGTACCACAACTCTGGTGTAGCACAATCCAGGGCTCCGCTGTTCCTCCTTAACAGACAACCCCTGCACACTATTTTTGATGACCTCTGCTAACAGATGATACTTCTGAATATATGACTTGTTCTTTTTTCTTCCTCCAGGAACTATATCTATAGATAGGAAATGATATGCTGTCTCATACAGAAAAGATAAGGGGGCTTCTAAATGACCACGTTTATTTGCACAGATGAAGCTTCAGAGAGGCTCCACTATATTCTTCAGCTGCTCCAACCATGTGTTTCTGGGGCCTCCATTTTCCAGAGTAGGCCTGGACATGACAGCTTCTTTTTCATCAGAAGCTTATATCCCTTCCTGAGGATTTTGAGCAAAGACTGCTAAGGGAATATAATCCTGTGAGCTGGAAAAATTCAAAGGCATTGATGCCCCAGTTTTATGGTAAAGTTGAAGGTCTGTCTGAACTTACAGCTCAATTGAGCTTAATAATTGTCTGGCTACTGTAATAGTGTTGATAACTGTCTGGAAAAGGTGAAAGTAGCCTGACCGCTGATAAAACAGATTTTAAAATGGGCATCTGGGACTGCAAGAAATGAGGATGATGGAGAAGGTATTTATAATTAAAATAAATCCATCAATCCATCCATAATTTTCAAAACTTAGCATACTACTTTTCCCCTATTTTCTCCTTTTCTGCTACTGCTTTTCCATTTTTTTTTATTTAGACAACTGGCATCTTAAATATTTTCACTTTCATTAGTTCTCAAGACCAGTTCATTGTCTTGACTAGAAGATAAAATATCACCAGCAATGGAATTCAATGTTGGAAGGAATAAAACTATCACAACACATTTATTAGTGACTTTATAATTATCCTTACTGCCAAGTGCCAATAAAACATAAACCATATATAAAATTTAACCACATCTATAAAATTAATGTATATAGAATTATGTATTATCTGATAAAATGGACAGGGCCCGATTTTGTGCCCCCTGTTCAGACAAGCAGGAGCTGGGGAAGTCAGTTTAACTAACCAATTGCTACTAAGAGCAAGAAGCAGAATGGGTCTATAAGGAATATTCCTATAGGATTACATGTTTTTAAAATTAAAACAGCTCAACCGGTGCCATCATATAAAACCATATTTAGGTGGATTTTCAACCTCATTTACCCTAATAGCTCCAGGAGGAGCTATTAGGGTAAATCAAGCATTACTTGAATTTTTGGCATCCTTTCCTTTCTTGTGTCCTTGTAATAAGGTATTTAGCAGAATTCATTGGAATCTGACCAGGCCATGCCACGAGTGCTTCTGCTATGGCCTCCAACTCTCCACCTCTGGGCTTCCAGATACTTACCCTAGTATTCACACCAGCAGAGCAGGGTGATTTCTGATGTAATACCTAGCGATTGCCACTGTTATTATGCAGCATGGAACCTTAAAATAGGATCAAAATATATGCCAAAGAAAGGCGACATGAAAAAGGGAAGTACTGTTCATTTTTAGATGTGAATGTTCTGAATGTTTGTGTCAGGAAGGTTTCTCACGAGGATAATCTGTGAAGAGCAAAGGCAGACCACACTTTAAACTTTACAGTATGGAGCTGATGTGAATGGGTAGCTCATGGGTATGACAATGAGAAATCAAGCTGCTTATTTCCAGGTTAGTCACTTCAATATGATCCAGGTTACAAGGTGATCCAAGGTGCTCACCCTTGGATGCTCATTTATATTCATGATGCACAACAAATCCAGTGTGTTAGTTCAGTTCTTTTTGAAGGTAGACGCTGGCATCACCCAGAGATCATCATTCTACCTGACACCATGTCTGAGAGTCTTCCATACAGAAAGATCAAGGATGGAATGAGCCACAGGGAGAAAATATCAAGGTAGTTCTTGTAGGTCTGAATGGAGAGTCCCAGGTAGAGTGCCATGCTCATGCTGCAGGTATAGGTCGAGCATCCTTTACCTATACAGTGTCCAGGCACAGGGTTAGCACAGGATTTCTGTTTCCAGGACTATGATTCCGGTACTTTTCTCGAGGACTAAACTCAAATGTACACTGAACCTTGCAGTTAACAACATTGAAAAAATCTGACTTTTAAATATTTTAGAACCTTAGTAACCTTTTAAGATGATATCTTGTAAAAATTTCACATAGGCAAGTTCTCCTGAGTATCAGCTATGCTGCTAAGCTATCAAACCAACAGCCCACACATTTCTGCTGCAATGCAGAAGTGGTACCTGAACACCAGCAGCAGGGGAGTGGGAGCTGGGAGGTGAGTGTAAGCCCTGTTTTGGTTATTGCTTGTCAGGCTTTTCCATTAATGAAATGGAATTTTGTTTTCTTAGGAATACCTGATATTTCCAAAGCTCTCAGGGATCATATTAGCAAACAGGCAATCTCAAAAAGAGGGATTATGCTATTTGTTTCTAAGGCACTCCCAGTATTTCTGGATAAAATCACTGTATATGTAAATCAGAAGCACACAGACTGGAAAAAGTCCAACCCCTGCCCCACAACCCCAAAAGATTAGTGAAGACTTAAGTGTGTCCAAACTGGTGATTCTCAACTAGAGGTCTTTTTTTTTCAGGTGCCCCAGGATGCCACACAATATTAGCACTGTTAGGTGTGCCAACACCTGTAACATGATTCACAAGAGAAACCCAGATATTTCAAATGGGAATTTACACTGTCAAAAACCCCTGACCTGTTGTGGTCTTTGAGGTCTTTGCAACAGAAGAATTGCTTTATTATTTTTCCATAGTCAAAAAACAAAAAAAAACTAAGAGCTGGAATTTTCCAAGGAGTGCCTTGAGTCAAAAAAGATTGAGAACCATTGGTTCAAACTAATAATTAATATCAGACTGGTGCCAGTACGAAGTAATACGGTGTGGTTTTTTAGACACTGGAATGCAGTGACTTCTTCCTTGTACAGAAAGTGTGCTGGCTGATTCACACTAAGTAAATAAGCAAAGATGTTTTGAAGTGAAGACTGTAGGAGGGACAAAGCTAGCTGCCATACAGAAATGTACCTAGGTCCCAGAATTTTAGTACCTGGAATTAAACATACTTGTAGGGGGAAAAAATGAAAATAACTGTCTATAGATTTGAAAGTATCTAATATGATACTGACCTCAGAAGAGCCAAAGTCATTGACTCTCTGACAGACACTAAAGGCAATCATACATCTTATAAAACTTGTCCCTCATTTTTCTGTAGACTGAGGGGGAAATCTTTCAGCTGTCCTGAAAAGGTGATTCATTCATGTTCAGGGAAAGCCTACTATTATGGGACACCATAAAGGCTCAGAGGAGGGAATATACTGGGGGTCTGTCTTCCTTGCTGTTGAGGTATATAGGCTTAATAGCTTTATTCTGACCTGCCTGGGTAGGCGTACCAGAAGGTAGAAGGGGCAGTGGAGAGGACACACTTCCCCTACGCCTGTTGAATCATTTCACCTACATGCGCTGTATATACAAAGAGGGGCCACCTAAATTATGTGTGTTCTTCCTTCTTCAGGAAAGAAGTTTGAATCTGGCTCCAGTTACACAGATTTGGATTACTTATACAGTCAAAGAGACTACAGTAGTCTTTTTTGTAAGGCTCTGCAAACAACTAATTGTTTTTGGTTCTGTGACCAGACTGGGATGTAGGAAGGATTCTGGAACAATCCAAAAACCATTTTTTGGGAATATACGGAAAATAGTAATATATATTAGTAATAGTAAGTTCTATCTATCTATCTATAGATATATAGAAATACAACTATATCTCTATATCTATAGCTTTATCTCTATAGCTATAGAGATACACTACATCTATAGAAGTACTTTCAGAAGTACTAAAGTGCAATACAGTACAGGCAGTTACTGCACCGTGTGTGTGGCACACAAATAGATTTTGCCACTACATTGCCATAGCAGCACACTATACCAGGGAGTGCACTGCTACGACAATGGATCACAAGTAGATCCACATGATAGCTACGTCGCCGTAGCACACTGTATGGCAATGTAGGGCATCACTACATCACCACAGGGTGACCTGTAGACACACACTATATCTATCTATTTATCATAGATATATATATAGAGAGAGAGAGAGAGACAGAGACAGAGAGAGATCTATATATAGATAGAAAGATACATTTAGAGAGAGAAAGAGAGAAAAAGACTATTTTCCAAATATTCCGCCATACAAAGTTGGTGTATATATGTGAAACACACACACACACTTATATACACATGCTCTGGTCTGAGGCTTTTTCAATTCAAGCAAAGGCAGTTTCACGTGGGTCAAAGAAAGATATGAAATAATTCAACCTACCTCCCACGTGAGCACCTTAACCACCAGACTCTATGCTGTTTTGGGGTGGTTTGGTCCCAGTAGCATTAGCTGAAGTTGTTCTACTTCATAGAAATTACTTAAATGATCATTTAGGCAGGGACCCACATGTCCCACTTCCAGTTCACGTTTGGGCTTGAGTCATTCTAACTAACTTTCTCTCTCATACACAGCTATCACCATAAGACAGCCACCACCATTAAAAGTAAAATCAGTTACATATAGATGAAGTAGAACACAGATGATAGTAAACTGACCGGTAACTGTGTCGTTGTCTGGTTTTTCCCAGTCCAAGATAACAAAGGAAGGGCAGCCTTCAACAGTCACTACGGTGAGGTTAGTAGGAGGATTTTGTGGAGGTTGAACAGGTTCTTCCTTGCTGCCACCTTCCTCTTGTGGGAAATATTCAAGTGAACTTGTGATGGAACATGGCACATCTTCCTCTTTTTTCATATACTTGACATGAGGGGCTAAGAGAAAAGCGTTACTTCATTCAAGTACTGAGTAACGTAACAGAACTAGCTTATGCTTAAAAACTCCACAACTTCTAGTTAAGAGCACAAAAGAGGAAATCATCCATGAAAATCATATTCAAAATCTAACACAAATGCTGAAGAAAAGAAGCAAGATGCAACTTTCAATGTCTAGTCACCTTTGTACCTAGTTTACACACTGTGCTCGGTGCAACAATTTAACTCAATGCTTGCCGCAAGTTTTTAAATTTTTCTCTAATGCAGGGGTGGGCAAAATGCAGCCTGTGGATGTGGCCCACCAGGCCATTCTATCTGGCCCGCAGGGCCCCTAAAAATTTAGAAAATTAATATTTATCTTCCCCTGACTGCCTGTCATGAGGTCTTCTATGGCTTATCAAAACTCAGTAAGCAGCCCTCCACCTGAAATAATTGCCTGCCCCTGCAGTCTAATGCCTACTGGACAGAATAATGGCTAGCACAATATCCCAATGCCAGCCCCTTCATGCATCCTCTTTTGCAACGGCGGTCACAGTCCTGGGCACTCAATGCCATTGGGATAGCATCCCACTGGAATCCTGGTGTGAGGGACACTGCAAAATCTTCTGAGCTCCTGTCACAAATGGCAGAAGGTTTTATCTGTTCTTACAATGACTGGCAGAATGGAGGCCTGATCCTGGTCTCAAAAAAGCAAAGTTGAACTCCCTCTTATACATCCTGCCCCGCTAATCTGCAGTAATTTTAACACCCCCACCCCCTCCTTTTTTTTTTTTTTTTTTTTAAGGAAAGCACTGATAGCTTTAGGAGCTATAGTCTCCAATACAGAAATTACAGCAAACTCCATTAGAAGCCACTGGCTAATAACTGTGGCTCATCATGCTGGTGTCTTGGTTTTACTGAGCAGATCAGGAGCTGCAGTGTCTGGCAAACCAGGAGACTTGTTGCTTTCTTCCAGAAACACAGCTGACAGCTTTGAAATCATTCCTAATATCTTAAGTAATGTAGTAAAATGATACCTGAAGATAAGAGTGCATTAGCTTTGAAATGAAAAAATGTATTAGGTTTCTAACGATATATCTATTCTCTATATATTCTAGAGAGAGAGATTTAGCTGTGTTAGTCTGAAGATAGGCAGAAATCAGGGCAGGGTGGCCTTGAAAGTTAGTCCAGAAGGTGCCACCTGCCATGCCTTCTATATATTCTACCATTACTATAATACCTGCATTTATAGTAGTCTGGGCATAGGCAGGAAAGAAAAGGAATTAGTCTGGGAGGATAAATTCTTCAGACGTGGATATGGCAGTGTAGCAGGGACCCTTGACTCCTGCTACTTGAGGGATTGGAAGCCAGTATTGGACGGCTGCAGTTAGGTACGCAGCTGAGCAAGAGCCAACTGCAGAGCAACAAGCAGCCAGGGAAAACTACGCAGAGTTAAAGGGCAGCCAGGGGAGAGGGTAGGGGTGACAGCTCAGTAGTTTAAGCTGCAGCACCTGGGGACAGGCTGAGTACTAGGCTGATTAGAAACCCCTGGGCAAGGAGAAGGCCACGTGATCAAAAGGGGTGGAGCCCTCGCCTACTAAAAGCATGGACTCTCAACTAAAGAACTTAGTCTGGCCCTAAGTGCTACTGAGATGAGAACTTCTGCTAGCTTGGGCTGCAAGAGGGAGGAAACCCAGGTAACACCAGCACCTAGGGAAGCTACAAGGAGCCATCAGCCATTGGGTAAATGTTTGCTGGGACTCAAGGAGACGTTTATGTGCAAACACTAGCTGGCATAGGACCAGAGGACCAGGTTGTGGTTACTGGGGTGGTATGGAAGCCACTGGGGTGCCTGAGGGCGCCCAGCCTAAAACACTGTAAGGGTCAGGGACCCCAGGGGGCTGCAAGAGTGAGCAAGAGCAGCTTTGCTTGGGGCAGGGGGCTGGACAATGAGACAGGGGTAGGACCCAGGAGCCAAGGTCTGGGGCAGTAGACATAGGCTGAAGTAAAGGGTCAAGGCTGGGAAGACTGAAGCCCAGACAAAGGTGTGTGGCATCAGGGCCCAAATGCAGTATGGGGCCAGGGGGTCTTTTCTAACTGATCCAGAGTAACACCTGTGAGGCATGGGGGCAGCAGGAGGCCACAGTTCTAGCCCTTAAGGCAATTGGGGCAGCAGGGTTGGAGCCTCAGAGACTGACGAAAGACAGTGAATTGGGGTCAGAGCCCAGAACTGAGTGGGCCAAGTCAACCCAAGGAGGAGCAGAATTAGGAGGAGCACCCAGATATCATTAGCCTCTAAGGGCAGGCTCCCCTCTTTATTTTTACCATCCCACTGTGGCAGGAAAGGCAGCAGGGTGAAACCCTGAAGGGCCAGAGTGGATGAGCAGGGCAGATGAAGGAGGCCAGTAGAGAGTATCGCGGTCACCCTTGGGGCCCTTCCTGCTGAAGCAGCTATTTTTATAACTCTCCACGTCCATGTTTCAGATTTATTTCTAGAACGTGCTGTTACATGTCCATTTGAAAAGCAATTGCAAGGTAGTTTGAAAAACAGTTACTTTAGTGATTAATAATATATTCTCTTTCTCAGGCTACTTCCTATGCTGACATATGCTGTCTCTCGAGGGACATTGGTAGTTGAGGAGCTTATCTGTAGGAATAAGCTTGCTTTGTGATGCATGACAGAATGAGTAGTCCATATGGTGAGGCTTGTATTAGGGAACATTGGTAATGGGATTAAAGTCTGTATGGGAAGGCTTGCAAGGTCAATTAGGAATCCTACTGTGACTCAGTGGAATATGAACACCGTGCAATAGCACAGTTGCTGGAATGAATTGAGGGCCAACAGTGAAATGATTTGTGGTGGAAATGCCTCCCTTCCCCTGGTTTGGAAACTGGCTGACGGCTGGTGGAGAAAGAAATGGAGGGAAAATAAGACAAAATGCACTCAAGACTCATTTGAAGGTCTGTACTAAAGACCTTTAATCTGCTGCCAAGATGTAGCTGGACATTTAAAAAAAATCATTGAAAGTTTGGAACTTGAACTAAACATATCAAGTTGTCAAGTTATATTTTAGCAAACATAGCTATTACAGTCATACCTGTGTATCGAGGTTTGCCCAGTGAATCTGTCTCTGATGTAGGGCTTGAGCTGAAGACAGTTGCATCAGCTGGGGAAGAGATAGTCACAACAATATTTTTAGAAAAGCATGAAGTTGCAGTATTAAACCACCATCTCATATTTCATCTGGCATTCTAGATCAGCCTCCTACAACTTCCCTTTGGTGTGTACTTGCTATCCTTTTTGTTTTCTCCTAAGACTGACCCAAATTTTGTCTGTGATGGAAAATAAAAGCCTCTTTCCTCTGCCAAAACAAAGACAGGCATAACCTAAATAACTGAGCTCATTATTGCTGTTGGATTCAATTCATGTATAATATCCAAAGGCGTCTTTAGAAGACTTAAAAAGCATCTTTTTGCATTGCATTGACTCTCCACCTCTTTAACGTGATCTGGCTCATGTTCTGAGAGGACAGTGAACTGTTCATTGGCTCATTTCAACTTCCACAATAAGAGTGGCAAACAGACTAAATTCTGTCTTTGCAGCATGCCACTCCCACTAATACATAGGGAAGCTCCATGCAAGTATGCTGGGAACCAATGGAAGCATATGCAAAAGCAGAAGTAGAATGCATGAGTTAATCTCATAGTAAATATTAATTACAGCGAACAAAATAGGTCAAATTATGCACTTTGAATGAAAATCATACTTCTGTCCCAAAATCTCTGGCAACTACAACAGGAAATTATCCAAGGGCACAGTTCACTTGATAAATCTGAAGAGGTCTGAACAAATGCTTAAGAGAAACCTTTATGATTTCAAATCCCTAAAGTAATCCTCCCCATCCCTGACAAAATGGAGCAGAGCTGGTTTTAGATACCTATTTTCAGAATTTTTTAATGTCCTTCACACCAAAGGTAATTAGCCATTTACATCATGTACCATGTGAGGATTATGGGAGGTGGGGAGGAACCCATACATGGGGACAGGAGCAGAAATTACAAGTTTGAAAGTAGTCAACACAAGCTTTGATCTTCCATCCATATGAAGCAATACTCCTGAAAACAATCTTTGCTTTTGAGAGAAGACGATGATGGACAGGTAATACAAGAGTAATGCTGTAGCCATAATAATCTAGAAATCATGCGAGAGGGAAAGATTTTGTAGGGTGATATCTTCTATTGGGCCAACTGTGTATTTGGGATAGAGTTAGACAAACTTTCAACTACAGGACATTCTTCATCAGTTCTGACCAGAATGAGCCAGGCAATAATATACTAAATAGTTCACTAACTCTACTATACACTTGATCCAATAAAAGATATTGCCCTAAGAAAATCTTGCCTTTTGTCTGATAGACCAAAAATATTCTAAATTAACAGCATGCATTCACATAAATATAGCATTCAGCTTGCTTTGGGCAGCAGACTGGTTCAAAGACAAGTTAATATTACTATAAATAGGCAGGTACTTTTGTGATTTTCTGAAATAACTGAGACAAAAATCATTTATTCCAATACCATTATGCCCACATATGCTAGGTCTGAATTTAGACCAAAAGGGGTGTGTCTATACATGTATTAATGTGCTTTAGTTAGTGCGCATTAAATCTAGTACCTCCATTGTGAGGTACTAGGAAAATGCACATTAGCCTATTGTAATGCATATTAACTAAAGAGCACAGTTAAGCAGGGCCATCCCTAGCAGGGGTTAATCGGGGCAACTGCCCCAGGCCCCATGCTTTGGCAGGCCCCACAGACAGTGCTGTACAGGCCCTGCCATGGCTGCCGCACACTGCTCACCACGCACCCCCGACTGCTCATACCCCATCACTCTGGCCACTCACCCCTGCCCCCCTCCCCTGCTGTGGTCCTACTGCTCGCCACCACCCTTGCCCCAGGCTGATATGCCCCAGGCCCTGCACACCCCTAGATACAGCTCTGCAGTTAAGTGACACTTAATATGCATTAGCCTATTTTAATACCCATTAACTAAATAGCTTTGGACACTTTTACAGGTGCTCTGGGGGTAGAGGGGCTTTAATTGTGTTTAAGTACACTATGAGTGGCTCCAAGAGTTGCTGTAATTAAAGTGCCTCAGCATCTCATATATCAGTCTTCCTGTGCTTAAAAATGGTGGCAGGAATGTTTGAACTAAAGCTTGTCAAATGAACTTTAGTTCAAGCACCCCATCACCATTTATAAACATAGGGATGCTGATACATGAGATACAGGAAACTGTTGAAACATGGTAATTATCTTGCTTCAGCAGACTCAATTAATTGCTGTAATTACAATGTGTTGGAGCAGTCTCTGCACTCCTCTACAGGCACTCATGGTTTTTTAGTAATGCTTTAATGTCCATTAAAATAGGCTAATGTGCATTAATGTACACATATCCAAGGGAGACTAAATGCAAAATCCTATGACACATCTGAACTGCAACAACATTCAGAATCTGGCTTCAGTTTCAAATTTTTAGGTTCCACCTTTCTCTTGAATGAACCAAACAAAACATTCCCAAACTTTGGGAGAGTTTAAAATCCAAACCTATTTGCTTGGACACACTTCATATTTTTTATATTCGAAGGGCATAGGGCTACTACTGTTACAACAGGGTGCATATACTCGTGAAATTAATGTGATGCAATAAACTCCAGCACATATCGTGCCTGAGTTTATTGCTCCTGGGCACCAAATTTACATGCGCTAGGCCAGGGCTATTCTGACCTGGCTCAATGTGCTGTGCAGGGGCCGGCTGAGGCACAGGGGTGCTCCAGTGCAGGGCTAGTCAGCAGGCAGCCTCCACACTGAACTACCCTCATGCCCCAGCCAGCCCTGTCAGTGTCTATACGTTTGTTGCTGAGCACTAAATAATGCCGTGGTAGGATAGTACTTGTGTTTACAAGTACTAACCTATGGTGGAGTTAATTAGTTTCCTGTGGCCTAATAGTGCTGCATGTGTAGACATTGAGACTTTACTGTGACGCTAATTAGGCAGCTCTGCAGTGAACATCTCACATAGATGCAACCACTGGTTGAAACATACAACCATACAATACCACCATGTGGGTTACTGTGGAGTAGGACTGACTTGAATGTGTGGCATTATACAATACAGGATGTTCAAAAAGAGAGTATATCTTGGGTTGTCAACACAATTACAGTAGTCATTCAATAGCAGCAAATGTGTTAGACATTTGCAGATGTCTGGCAAGACAAAGGGCATTATTCTGTTCTCATATAACTGCAAAGCAGGAGTCAATCAGTTGAACTCAACGGAGTTGTAGCAGTTACTAAGTAGTAAGTGATATCAGAAATGAGACACAAAGCCCCTTTGAGAGGACCTCATAAATTAAACAGATTAAATAAACAGCAATATGTGGGAAATAAATACAGCATCAAAATCAAAGTGCCTGATAAGAACACTACCTGAACTGAAAAAAATTTAATACAGCGTTTTTTTTAAATCGATGTAAAACACAAACAAGGACAACAACAAAAAAAAGCAATAGCAATATGCTCACCAAAATCTTCTGGAGTAGCAGAAGCTGTTGGAGATTTTCTGGGTGCTCCTGTCTTCACAGAATTAGTTGGTTTTGCAGATCGGGCCATAGTGGCCATGGGAGAAGGAGGAACTTGTGGCACCAAGACATTTACTATTTGGAAAAAAAATGCAGCTATTCACTCATAGTTTGCTGATGGTTTAATCAGATAAAAGGGGTCCTGAACTCTAGAGGGAAGCACTTGATTCCGTTTCTGAGTCACAGGTATGGCATTATTACAGTTGGACTTGAGAAACCTTTGACTCACCATGATGGCTACTGAGTCAATAAATATTCTACATCTCATACATCCAAAGAAAATGCTAAACAACTCAGATGGACTGTTGAGGGCTATGATCAGATAAAGAAGAATATATTTTGTTGAATATATTGCAGAGAACAATCCTATACAAAGTGGTAAAGTGACAAAACAATGTAATGAAACCTTTCTATTTCTCTAAAAGTCTTCCTATCACAAGACTTATAATGGGAATACTAAATTCAACAACAGATACTTGGACTTCTGAACTTGAATCCTGCTTTTAAGGACCTTTAACTTGTATCCCTAAGAGTGTAGGCAGATTACCAAGCTCACATGATGAACAAAGACTTTGGAGAGAAAGGAACAGCCAGCTAGGGCTGTGCTTAATTACAGAAATTATGTTGCTGAACAATGGAACTCTATTACAAAGTTTCCATGGGGCAGCTTTAAAAGCATTCAAGTCAAACAACAACCTGTTTTTTTAAAATCACCTGTAGCACAATGTATAAGGTAAGTTCACTCTGGGTTGGAATGCCTTATATGTTAAGCAATATCCATCTTGAGGCATGTGGAAGTCCAAAATTACATTTAAGAAATGGCACATATTTTTTAACAGGTACTGTATAGCCACTGATCTTGCACCTAGCAAAACTCTCCACAGATTTGACAAACAAGAATATAGCTTCTGAACAGGCAGTGCTTTGGTCAATTAACTGTCAGGCTGACAAGGAATATTCTGTTTAAGCTCTCATCCTTGCCATCACATTTTGGGAGGCTTATGGAAATCTTTCTTTCTGTCAGGAGATTTTATTTTGAAAGGCTGTGGCCATAATAAGTCACCCTATAATACTCATTTTGTACAAAAAAGGCACAAACAAATAATTAGTAGTCATGGTATGAATTAGAATAATGGGATGAAAATATAGAAGGGAAAAACCAGGCAGAACGTCAGAAGGCAAATATATTGATGGACTAGTCTCTCCAGGGAACCAGAGGAAGCTTCATTTGGGAAATTTAAAAGAAAATTGGACAAAACATTAGGAAATGTACAATAGAGGAAAATCCTGCAGTGGCCCCAATGATCTAACAGCTTTATTCCATCTTTAATGTCTAGTATGCTGCTGGCTAATGCATAAACTGTCTCATAGCTCATGGAAAAAGGGAAGATGAAAATATGAAACCCTGGAAGATGGATTAAGGACCTAATGGAGAAACTTAGCATAGATTCTTATTAAAAGCAAAAGAAAATATACTGCATCAACTGTTAATGTGTTCTATGGCATGGCAGAAGAATTGCATCTTGTGAATCTGATAAACCTATTATTAAGGGCACAATGGAGTTTTGTTTTTTTTATCCTGTCCACAGGCTAATTAGATGTATAACATCTATGGTCAGCACTGCAATTTGTTTGTGACCTGCTGCACAGCATACAGAAATATCTATCCTCTGCCTGCTGCAGCTAGCATAAAGGATACATCCCATTAGGGCAAAGTGATCTTACTGTGGGAAGGTAAGCAGGGGCATAGGAGAGCTGCAGTTGGAATGCAGGAATGACTGGCCCACATGGGCTGGGAGCACACAACACCCCAAAACAAAATGGGAATACGGAGTCTTGGCCTCCAGCTCCTGTGTACTGGCTGCAGAAGAGCAAGTAACAGCCTGCAGTGAGTGAAACACTCTTCCCTACTCATGTATATGATTATCTGAATCAATTCAAGCCATAGATTCGAACCTACAGACAAAAGAGCATAAGGAAAATTGATGCAAATGTTAGTCACAAGACCAAATGGAATGAAATGGACCACATGAAAGATTCTGTTCTCCGTTATATCAGCGCAAATATGGCCATCAAAAAAGCCACTCTGCATTTACATTAGAATAACAAAGAGCAGAGTGTGGGATTCATCCTTGGTACAAATCCATCGGTGAAATCACACTAAGAAGGAAACTGAACACAGTTGTTCCAGTTATAATATAAATTAGAAACATCTTAATGCACTTAACTCAGACTTGAATTTAATACAATGTCAATGAGGGGAAAAGGGGACCTAAATCACAGTGCGCATCTGTCATCTATGCACATGCGTATATAGATAACAAGATGAGGAATGAATGATGCACAATATAGCACCAACATTTCAGAACTGGAGACTTGGGCTAGATCAGGCTTGTATTTTCAAAAAAGTGGATTTCTTTCTTGAACATTTATTCCTATCCTAAAACTCCAAACAAAGGGTGGCGTTTTGCCTACATGTAGCAGCATGGGCAAGACAGAGGTGAATTAGAAGACCTAACTGGGGAACATCATATTGCATCACCAGGGGTTGGCATCCTATGGCTTACAGGTTGGATTTAGCCTCTACAGCCATAAGATCTGGCCTGTGGAACAGAGGCTTTGGTGGTGTTCAGCAGTGAGGGGCTCTGCCTATACTGCTGTGTGGGCATGCAGTCAGGTGTTTTACTTATGCTACACCATAGCTCAGTGATGGAGAGAAACAGTGGCAGGAAGAAGAAATGGTGGCCAGGTTCTAGCACTGGCCCAAGCTGGGCCATTCTAGCCTGCTGTCAGAAAATATTGCCAACCCCTGACTTGGCTTCAGTCACTGGCTTTAGTCACTCTTAAAAGCCTTTCACTCATGAGTCTTTATATACTTCACAGATGTAACAGGCACATATTAAAGTATCTTATTCTCTGAACAGCAGTGACAGAGTGTAAGGTATTCTTGATTTCTGTGTTTTATTTGTAAATTACTCATCTCTTACAATCATCACCCAGATTTTCAGTTAACATGGTTTTGCAAGGTTCTTTATAGCAAGTTCTGAAATGCAGAACTATGTCCAACATCATCTGCAGGAATGGGTTTTACTCAAATAAAATTATGCTTTTGGAAAAAATGAATATTTATGGTTTAAATTTGCTTCCATTTGATGGAAAAGAAGCAATTTGCAGTTTGATTTATTGGAATGACTGGGTGCATCTACATGTGCCTCTTTTAAGCAGGCTTAACTTAAAATTGCCATTTTTAAGGTGCAGTAAAGGCTCATTTCTACACATGCATGCACTTAATGTACCTTAAAATGGCGCTTAAAGCTATGTGAGCCTAAATTTGATACCTGCACAGAGCAGGTATCAAATTTAGGCATGAATAGATAAGTTGTATTAGCACACATGTAACCACGCTAATGCACATTACTGCAGTGTGCATCAATGGATAGACACCGCGTTAATGCACATTAGCACTTCTGCACGTGTACTAATGTGACTTAGCTATTCACGCCTAAATTTAATACGCTTTAATGCATCCACTTATAGACATTTGCCTAAATCACCTTAATGCACCATAAGCAAAGGTGCATTAAGTTTAGGTGCACGTAAATACACGTGTAGACATGCCTACTGAATGTGCAATATGGTTATTGGATACAAGCTAATTTAATAACATATAGTACTAGTGTTTTTAATGAGCAATAAATCATGAAGCATCTACAAAGAGTCCAGGGCTTTTCTTCATACTTTGTCTGCCTTTTCCATGTTACTAAGAAAATTGGATTGTTGGCTCTTTAGATCTTATTTACCATTGCTAGAAGCAAGAAATAACTGAGCTGTATTTTCAAAGCAGAGGAGGGAACTTGGCCACACACTTTTCCATACATTTTATATGGTAGATGTATAATTAACTTAAAAACTCTCAGATAAAAATTTCAAGTCTTACTGTTTAAGGGAAAGGTGAATTGTGGCATATAGGGGAGAAAATTTTCTTACAGGTGATCAGTTGCACATATATCCTGAAGTATAAGATTCATATGTAGTGACTGAAAATTATATTGTCGGTCAGGAAACCACCTACAGTAACTCTTTCTAAAGGAAACAGTATTCCCTGTATCATTCCCTTATATTTTGTGCCAGTGGGACTAATTATACTCCAACCTGGTGAGAACAGAAAGTAGACTTATGCAAACGGGCAAAAAGACTTGCACACTTCAGGAGGTTAGTTCAGATACACGTCAAAATAGCCTGTAGTCTGCTGGACACATTCTATGGGTACACACAATGGGCTCCCCGGGGTATCCGAGTTATAGCCTGCAGCACTTGCTACTACTAATAAAGAAAAGGATATGGTCTCACAAAATCCTGGGTGTCCTTGCCTCTCATGTGCATCTATAGCTGTTGAAGCTATTCAACATCTCACTGATTTCAAAGCATGAAAGGTGGCAATGAAAAAGCTGCTGTACCTGGACTCCCTGGTTTACCAGTCACAGTGTTTGGAGGCAATGGTTTTCTTCGCACTTGCGTGGGTTTGGCAGGAGCAAGCAGAGGATGCTGAGGATCAGGTGGCAACATTTCTGAACAATATTAACAAGATATCACTGTTATTTTTTTAACCACAAACCAATATAATGAGTGAGATGCACAGACTTAACAGCTACACTTTGACTTCTCATGCACTATTTCATTATATTCAATTCACCATTATGAATAGCAAAAGCAAACAAGGGAGCAGGTGAAAGGAATTTCATTTTGAGCCTTACATTATCTCCAGGAAACATGTGTGCCTTCAAGCATTAACCAAAGACTATATTAAAAACAAAGAGGAACAACACAACCCATTCCTGTCATTGGCAAGCTGCACACATACTACAGAGTGTCACTTGCTCTTTGCAATTAGTAAGTTTTTTTATTTTTCTCAAAGAGAACATTTTCAGTGCCAGAGAGGAAAGTTTTCCTTCCAAAGGAAAAATACCTCCCAATTCTATTTGGAATAGTGTAAGTTAAGTGTTCAGTGCCGAGGCCCTGGATGTTTTATTTTTTCATTCCCTTGAAGTGCAGCTACTGATGAAAGTAGGACACTCAAAACAAACAGTGTGACAAAGGGGGAATTATGTTCAGGGTTACGCTGGCCTACATACAAATCTGAAGAGTAGGGCTTGCATTTATTCAGGGAGAGGGGTGAACTAGATAATCCTGGAGATCTCTTCTGACCCTCTGATTCTATGACTTCTGTGTTCATCCAGAAATACCAAGTGTATCTGAATCATGATCTGAAGGACATGCCTAAAGTAGTTATCAGGTACAAGAGCTACCCCATCTTTATTCTATCCTTGGTTTCTCCACTGAAATACCTGATAAACATGTCAATTATCATGACAGTTTGTACTGTAGACATGTCCAGTAGAGGCAGAACCAAGGCCAATGACTCATTTAGAAGCTACTAGACTGAACTGCCTGTGAACTGGTTGTGGACGTAAAAAAAAAAAGAGAAAAATAATAATAAAGAGAAATGTTCAACACATATAAGACTTGGATTCAATTGATGATAGAAATTGTGGGTGCTGTCCGAGGGAGCCAAAGGAGAGATCATAGCACAAATAAGAATTTAGATAGATTGCTAGTGTCCTACTGTGGCAGTAACACCTCATGACTAATAACATCAAAATTTATCAAGACATGGCAGGCGAGAGTCAGACTATACCACAGGAGGCCCTAGACAGGGCAATCGGTGAAAACCCCACAGGTCTGTATAAACATACCCAAGGACCTGGTCCCACCCCAAAGAATGAACAATCCTTAGTGGTAGGATAGTTATCCTAGTCTCTGTAAAGTGCTGTGGAAATCTGTGGTGCTGTATCAATGATTTTTTAAATAACAGATAGACAACCAACAACTGCTTCAGTTTCTTCAACTTTTTCAAAGTGACTATATTTTTTCAGATAAAATAGTAGGATGATTTCATTGATCAGAATGGCAACACTGCTTTCAGGCAGAGCAGTATAACCACTTGTGCTTCTGAGCTAGATTTTAACACAACTTATTGTAAAAAATGTTGCTGTTCCTTATGGGTAAGGAAGATCATAGAGATACATGCTTCAAATAGGAATGGCTACCTCAGTCTCCAAAGGGAAGACTGACTTTTTAAAGATCATTACAAGTATGCTTGTAACATGCTTTTCAAAGAGGAATCTTTGAAAAGATGTTATAGATATGAATCTCAACTGATCTGATTTTTCACCTGTGTCATGTAACATATTATGCAAAGGAAACAGGGAAAGTCAAACATAAATGAGGAGAGAGATAATAATATTTTTCTTTTACAGTTCACATGTAAACATGTTTGTTTAAAAAAGAGCCATAAAGAAGTAGGAGATATGCAAGATTTACATTAAATAAAAGACTGCTTATGCGTAACATGAAAAATTGTTCCTGAGTAAAATAACTTATATAATACTGCCAGTGCCAACAAGACTACGTTATCTGATGATAAGATATCAGCTGAATGCAGTACTTCATATTCTAGGAAATGTAGGCAGGTTAATTTTATAAATACTGTGAGGTGGGGGGAGTTAGGATCCCAAGCGGGGAGAGTTTGCTATTTTAGAAATGCCTACAATATTAAGACTCATGTCTCTATGGGTATGTACTTAGAAGTTTGAGAGGTTAGACTGGATAAAAAATGGCTGAAAATTATTGGTGAATGGAATCTGGGAATGCACCTGAGCCAACTATAGTGTATGAACATGTCATGAACTACAGGAACACGCCTTGCACAATCATTAACACACAGTTCTGTAATGGGATAACATGCAGTTCTAGGATTTCTGTAATGTTCCCAAATCTAGAGCACAGGATGCAGAGATCCAATTTATAATCTGTCACACCTGATATAATTTTTGGACCTGCTGACACTCCTGCTACCTGTAGCTGAATATATATAGGTGTTTCATTTTAATCATGGAAAAATGTGGATTTGGGGTTACTTTTATTTAGCTAAAATTGGAGATTTTTTTTTAAATCAGAGAAAACCAGGATCCCTGATTATGACTGTAGTTTGAGCTGTTAACTTTTTTATGTTATAATATTAGATATCTAACTTACGAAAATGAGATAAAGCAGTTGCATCTCTTCCTTAAAAATCATGCATATAATGTATCCTTTCAAACTCTGGAAAGCCCATACAGGATCTACTTAAGTAAACACTAATGTCCTATTTATGGTAATAGAGATTGATAGCCATCCTTGGCTTCAATTTATTACTGGGATCAAGCTTGTACTGGCTTGTATAGTGTAATGGTCTAATTCTTGTATAGGGCATTTTTTTTAGGTTGAATAAACTGAACTGTCAGAACTCAGCAGTCAGCTTTGTTTGCCTTTTTTCGTCAGGTAAATAAAGTGCCAATGTCCTCTCTAGGGATTATGAGCATACAACAGTTTATAACTCATTAAGGAGGCATTTATTTGCATGCCTGCTTTTAAGTATGGCAGTCATAATTCAAAAGGTGGGGGGGGCAGGGCTTTCTAAAACATCAGTAGGAGTATAAGAGAGATGCTAATTTTTTTATCAGATTAAAAGCCAGCAAACAGAAGGCCAAAACAGCATCTTATGTGGGTTATGAAAAAAAAGGAAAAGCCATGTTGCATATATATATATATTTCTTTCCACCACGAACAGGCAATTTCTAACAAGTGTCTAGAAAATGATTAGGCAAATGCATGCTATTTCACCAAAAGAACCTCACTGAATCACATGCAATGTGATTCAGTATTTACATCAATCATATAAGGGTGTTTTATTTTTTTATTTAAAAACTCACCTTATCTTAAGGCTTGTGAAAACTGTTAAATGAAGAGTACTGGAGACAAATGTCCTGAATTTGTCCATAGAGCTCGTACAGCCTATGCATCCTTATACTATCCACAACTTCAACTGGG